ATCTATCTATCTATCTATCTATCTATCTATCTATCTATCTATCTATCTATCTATCCCCCTCTCTCTCTATCAGTCTCTTTTTTCTCTCCATCATTCTTTTGGTGATAAGCAAGTCTTTGTCTGATGTGTATCTATATATCTGCCAAAGAATTGTGTTTACAAACACGTACACATTTTTAACGCACCAAAACAAGCTCTTTTTTTGGAATTGTGTCGTTCCTTGAGTTAGCCTTTTGGTTAAGGCATAAAAATAATAACTTGTAATGACTTCTGTTTCCACAGGCAGTCACAAATCTGAACTACGCGTCCAATTTCTTCATTTACATTCTGTCTGGGAAAAAGTTCCGCATCGAACTGCGGCGCGTCTTTGTCTCAGACAGACGAGGCAACAGCTTCATGGGAGGCAGTTCAAGGACTCGGGATGAAATCATTATGATGTGACGATACGACCAACGGGAGGATTCATGAGCCGGCTCCAGGTGTGAGGTTACAGATCTGAAGTTGTGGTCTGATTGTTATGATGTACCGCTGGGTGGTAACACCACGAATCATGTTCCCTGCTATGAGGTTACAGATTTAAGAGTCATCGATCATTATGGTAACTATGATAGTGTCGACATCTTGAATTACCTCTAATGTGGTTGAGCTATCCTTTGTGTTGGGCCTAAAACGGCTACCCTAACTAATGTCACACGACATAATACGTGTACAATACGACGGTCGTGATGAAGGGACTACGTGGTAGTGAGCCGGTAAAGCATCGGTATCATGGCACTCACAATTATAATGAGAGGGCCGTAGTCATTTGTACCGAAGCTTCCAGTTACCGATTATATGGGAACAGATCTTCACGAAAAAGTTCTGATGTCATTACCATATTATTGCTAATGAGACCCCTCCTGTGTGAAGTCACATTAGGTCTGTGTCAGATCATCACGTGGGTATGGTCACCAAATTGAGGGTTGGCATGATACTACAGCAACATGTTTCTAATTACGCTATTGTGAGTGGTCTGAAATTGTTGATCCACGTTGGGAAATTAATGCCGGACTGCCATGCCGCTTCTGTGACGGAAATCAGTTGCTGATGCATTTCCAGAGATTGTCATGAAAAGGACAGCGAGATGTCTCCCTACAATGTGGTTAATGATTTAGTCCTGATATAGTTACCTTTAGATGCTCTATGATTAGACATATAATCTGAACTTTGGAATGTGAGGACACTAAATTTGTGTTTGCCAAATGAAATAATAATATCATAGTTTCTAGGTTTCTTTACCAGGAAGAGATGAGTATCTTGTTATGGGATGTGGCTGGTTGATGTTGGAGTCAAGGTTGAAGTTTCCATATTTAAGCATTGGGGTATCTGACTGAAGCAGCTAGACACTCCTATACTGATAACTTGGCGATACAAATATCCCAACAGTCTGTAATGCCTTTTGGTAACGTATTTGAGTCATGATCGAACGCTGCCATGATGGACAAAGCGTACAAATTTAAATGAAACTCACATTGATGATATCACGGGTGTTCATGTCTGTTGTATAGAATATACAGGATAAACTGTTCCGACCTTTAAAAAGATACGCAAGATAATATGGGGGAACAGCTTGTGGGAGCTCAGTCCTTGGTGTCTGTGGTGTAGCGGTTAAGCGTTTCTCTCCGGCACGCAAAAGCACCGAGTTCGTTTCCCGAGTGGCAATACTTTTCATTGGGTATCTTGGTTTATCTGCTGCGGTGATGAATCCATCTAAGTGTTGGTTGGCTCTGACATGCAGGGTCGAAGACTTTCTCCAAAATAATCTTGATTGTGTCGAAGGAGGTATAAAAACAACTAAATCAAAATGAGACATCTTGTTGTCAAGATGTCATGTTTGTCAGTTTTTGAACAAACCGATTTAAACTGCCAATGAATAACTTGTATACTTTTATCATACTTATAAAAGTTTAAAATACAATGCTATAACAGACTTTATGGCGAATATCTCACTAAGATGTCAAAAGATACTGTCTTGGTATGTTATGCACGACACTTGTTTTTATCTGAGAGAACAGCTCTGGTTATTGAAGCGTTCAAACTTAATGATATACAAAGTGTTTGTTTCGATGTTTTGATTTAACTCTTTTTTAATTTCACTTAAAAACGTTGATCAAAGGTACAAACAAGTAAATTTGAATTTTCCCCAAGCGTTGGAAGTCACCAGGCTATGGCGACCATTTTCTCGCTATTTTTTCTTTTGACACCAGGCGAGCCCCACCTCTGTCAATCGGAAATTGTCTACTTCCTTTCAAGATAATTGGGTATTTTACCCATCAAAAGCAAGAAAAATGAGCAGGCTCTAAGATGATATGAATAATTTCTTGTACCAAAATATTGTCGAGCGACTGATTCCACCGAGTCGTGATTCTGTTTCATTGCATGTTTCTTTTACTACGCTAAGTTTTTCAAATTTTCCTGACCCCCCCCCCCCAACACATTATGTTATTAATTCCTGCATCAAATTAGCACCCAAATGCATTTGACAAAGGCTTGACCCTCAAAGAGTAATACTATGAGTTCTCTAAGAAGGCTTCTGAGCTTAATTATCAACTTTAAAGTGTGCACTTACTTACTTCGTTTACTTTTTTCTTCCGCTTGTACCCTGGGGTGTCGCGGGGAGACACAGTTGTCTGTCTGCAGCAAGTCGTGTGGCCTGTAGGAGGGACATCGCATGATGAAGTGAGCACAAAAAGTCCAAATGCGGTCCAAAGTCAAATATCTCTTGAACGGGGGAATCAATGTTACCCATACTTTGCACAACAGTCTGTATCAATTCGTCTTACCTTAATCATGTTTTCCATAAAAATCGAGGCTAGATTAACAACTTTTCTTTATAGATTAATATGAAAGTTGTATACGTCTTGTATACAGCACTTTCCGCTTCTCACACACATTATCAATAGGCTTATGGACCACGTCACAGGTCACCAGTGACACTTTTTAGTGGCAAAACTTGTTAGAAAAATTACTTTTACAGTGAACCCACATGCGTTCAGTAAGCATAATGTCGCGATTAGAAAAGAACAATAATGACGGACTTGTTTGTAAAAGCGATATTGTCCGAGCTGTAAACCTTTTAAAATCTGTAGAAACCACCAACTGGGATCTTTAACGAGTAGTTATTATGAACTTTCTAAAATACAGCGTACAGTTGTTTACAACATTTATGGTGATCTGTTAAGATAAATTTATAAAAGTCTTTGTGCATAAGCTGGAGACTTTTTCAAAGATAGTTGAGGAAATATTTGACAATGAGTTGAGCCACGAATTTTTGACCGCACTATAAACCATGTGAACCCCAAGGATATCAATTCGTTTTTGTTTATGGAGACATTGGGCTGACGTCCACTGAGAAAGAAGCTGCCGACAATTATGGGGCTTTTATGATGTTTAAAGTGAATATATACATAAGTGGATATATACTTTACGTAATATACAGAATACTAGAAAGAGAGCAAGAACAAGCGAGTGAGTGAATGAGAGAGAGAGAGAGAGAGAGAGAGAGAGAGAGAGAGAGATGGAGAGAGAGAGAGTGAGGGAGAGAGAGATAGAGAGAGAGGGGGAGAAAAAAAGAGAGAGAGAGACAGAGAGACAGACAGAGAGAGAGAGACAGAGAGAGAGAGAGAGAGAGAGAGAGAGAGAGAGAGAGAGAGAGGGGGTAGTGGTAGGTATGTGGCAGAAGGGAGGAGAAGAGAGAGTGGGTAGGAGTAATGAAAGAAAGGTGTAAGTAGGTAACTTTATGGGTTTGGTGCCCCTATCAACACTATTAAGTAATATTACGAGACCATAGTAGGTATTAGAAACCTCAGAAGTTTGATTAGCTATCAGAGAAAATATTAAGTCATCATTTCCGAAATTGTCCTTCGGTGTTTTTATGGCGACCAAAAAGTTTTTTTTTAAAAAACGGCTTTAGTAGCTAGTACATTGTAAAATTCACTTTCCTTGATTATAATCTTCTATTCCTAGTGAGAAAATGTAAAGCTGATTTAGAACGTACTTCTCCAGGAACTGGAAATAAGGTGGTCTCAAGGCCTTGATTTCAATAAAATTTGCTTTTAATCAATTACTATCATCACCGGTAAGTTTTTGCTGTTACCCTTTGACAGTGAAATCGTGTTTCCATCCCACCCAAACTCACGCTTAGATCTCAGGTTTTATTTTTGTTGAACTTTATAAAATTCGAAATGTGTTTTAGTTATGTTTTGATATATTTCGTTTGCTTTGCTCAAAGAGATCTTCGAAGGTATCAGGGGCGATGACAGTTAAAGAAGTTTCAGTCAGGGTTTGTGTTGTATTGGTTTTTTTTTGGGGGGGGAGGTGTACATGTTTTTTTAACGGAAGCAGATGTGATTCGTTTGATGACAGCGGTTTAGTATGCCTCAACAATAAAGATAACATTTAAGGATTTTTGTTTTTTGGCTCAACACCTTCTATGCCGATATACGAACATATTTTTTTCCATGTGAATTTTATTGAAAAACTTTGATTAATGGCACAACATATGTACACTTTCATCTGTCAAGGACTCTCAAACTATAGATGTTACTAAACTTTGGCGGCCATCTATCTTCTCGCTAACTTTACCCCAAAAACCAGGCTGCCCCTTACAGCTTCAATCGAAAATATCTCGATTTCTACTCAAGATAGATGGGTATCATTTTCATAAAAAGTAAGGCAAATACATACGCTTTTAGATGATACCAATAATTCTACAAGGCTGAAAATTGACAAGTGCTGATTCCACGGCATCGTGACTCATACTTACTACGAGCCAACTATAAGGAGTCGGTATAATGATATCATATTGTTTAAGAAATTCAAATACATGGAAAAATACCTGTTTCTCATCTCATTTAGGATAAATTATTTTTTATGTTTGGAATCCTGTCAGCTATTCGCTTCACTTCTCAGCATTAGGTAAAGCTATGACACAATTGTCGTACTGAAAAACTCTTTATGACAACTCCGATTAGAGCTGGTGCTTGTTGTGAGGTAAACTAACGTGTGCGATCTGTCGTGGTATCTCAACATTTTGTTTGCTAAATATAGCTGTTTGAAGGCTTACCTGAACAGTAGAAGGTTCACAGCTGAAGTATTATATAACTGAAATATACGGAACTAATTAATATTTTGGGGTTTTTTACACGTTGCAATGCTTGTACTGAGAGAAAATAGGTGCAAGTGGCAAACCGTTGTTGTTAGAAGTGTAATAAGTTGATTTTTGTCAAAATTCGTCCTTCCATATAAGAAAAACTGAACTATCACTATTATAGTGAGAAAGAACGTGTATTCTTGTTTTTGTGAAGCAATACGTTTTACAGCACTATCGGCACAGTTTGATCTTGTAAGCGCCACTTTAAGAACTCTCATGTTATAACAGTTGTATGCGTTTGATTAAAAAAAAATGTTTTCTGTTGTGCAGTGTATTGTAAAATTTGAAACCGTGATATGACATATCTATGTACTTTGCTTCAAATGTCCGTGGTTCAGTTCATTTTTCTTACCATAATCAGCGCATGAGTATGTCATTTCATCATTATACTATTGAATTCATATTTTATCGTGATATTGTTATGAATTGTACATCTTTCGAACAACCTGAACGTCATGCGCTTTGCTTCAGATGATTATGGCATTAAAAAGGACCATTTCTTCTCAAAAGAACAAGTAGTACAGTATAACCGCAGGCTTTTAAGGTGTAACGTTTACAGTAACGCCTCGTGAAAGCCATGGTTTTGTATGAGTGTTCTCCTTCGTTCTGATAATATGTTTCTCGTGGCGTAATCATTACACAGAAATAAATAAATGTTTATATAAAACGTAGCTTTTTCGGATTTAAAGTGTTTATTATAATTTTTTGTTTGTTTTCTTGTTATTTTTGGATGTAAGTTGTAAACTTTCCACAATGAAATCTAAAAGGCAGTAATCTTGCTGAAACTAATTCTATGTAGTTTCTTCTAAGTTATTTTTGTAAGTGTTTTATAGAGCTGGCAACTGCATAAGGTCATAATATGAGCGCTGGGGACACACTAAACATTTTCAGTTTAGTAAGAATCAATTTTGAATTTTGCCTTGTTGGCAGCCGAAATTTACTCTTATCGATTTTACAATCAACAAGGGATCTTTAACGCACACAACTTGCACACGAGGCCTCCGAGATTTTTCGTTCTTATCCGAGAAGGCTAGGCGTTAGATCTTACCTACCCTATGATCCTGGGTGTTGCTGAAAGACAACGATAAGATGGAGCTAAGGGGTAACAGAAAAAAATTCTTCAGAAAGAGTCAGGAGCCCAGAGAAGGGGGCAAAACAGAAGGTGGGCGCGGGTGGAGGGGGGGGGGGAGCTGAGAGGAGGGCAGAATGGGGAGACGAAAGTAGGCAACAGAACATGGTTAGAGAGCAGGAAAGGTTACAATTTTACAAAAGAAAATGTTTCTTCCAAGTC